GCCCCCGGACCCCGCTTTTTTTTCTTTCTGGGGGCTTCGCCCCCAGACCCCCATCAGGATGTTTTCTCTCACTGCACACATTACTAGTTGTTAAATTTGTATAATCTTCGCAATAATATATATATAGTGGAAATGTATTAATTGACAAAAAATTAATTTTCAATTACAATATAGAAGAAACATTATGAATATAATATACAATTCAAATGGTACACCCACCACCAGTGTGGATGGCTTATTTCTACTGCGTACTACAATGCAATTTAGTTTGGATCAATATTACAAATAAATAATGATGATGCCATAATCATCATATGGCTATGACAAATAATAGTAATCAAGACGTAAATCATGGGGTACATTGATTTGTGTGATACATCTTGTTTATTGTGCAATTATACTTTCAATTCTTTTGTAAAAATAGTTGTATCACATCCGGGGCAGAATGAATCATCGTTGACCAACAGACAATTAGTTTTCACATGATGATGGAAGATGTGCACATTAATAAATTGAGTACTTGGACGTCGTAAATTATTAGTTAGAGTTTGTAGTTGTCCAAAGAGAGATAAACAAAAAGGAGGAAAATGATACCATAGATGAAATAACTAATCAAAATAAAAGAAAACGTAAAAGTACTCCAAATAATAAAACAGTTATCTTACCATCATGTGATACACAAGTATACACTATTATATAATGTTAATTTTGGTGCAAGTTGTTGGCAAAGAAAATTATTTAGCCGTTTTGAAATATGCTTCTAATGTTATGGATAGCTGGGGTGGTCAAGCTTTACGAACAGGACAATCAGAATTTTTTAAATTCCTTCATATACATATATATATGAGGAGACAACATTTTACGTAAAATGCCGTAATTTTGTCATTCACAAATGATGATGATAAAATGTAATATCAGGAGACAAAAATGTTACTACAAATTATCATCTATTATGTGTAATGATACCCAATAATAGTCATCATCATCATCACAGGTTGCTGCTGCTACTGGTTGGGTGGTGTGTGTCATGTCTTGGTCGGACAAGACTGGACACGTTTGCTAACTGCCTCATATTGGGGGGGTTGCTGCATTTTACGTAAATTGCTATAATTTTGTCATTTAAAAATTCTGATATGTTTGTGCGTCTTATGATATTAAAGTGTTACAACTACTATTACTACTACTACAACTCCAAAAAAACAGCAATTCATCCAGCGTACTATACATCATATCCATATAGTTGCCGATAACTACAAAAAAAAACAGAGAAGAGAATATGTAAAGAATTATTATAAATAAAAACAATATTATTCAATTAATTATATTGCATCACTCTAAAAATTTTTGTTAATTAAATACTTTACATTGCGCATGTGGGGTTGCTGCTGCATTTTTCGTAAATTGCTATAATTTTCATGTGTTTGTGTGTCATAGGAGATTAAAATGTTAATACACAATAGCAATTCATCCAGCGTACTATACATCATATCCATATAGTTGCCGATAACTACAAAAAAAAAACAGAGAAGAGAATATGTAAAGAATTATTATAAATAAAAAYAATATTATTCACTTAATTATGATTGCATCACTGAAAGAATTTTTTTTTAATTAAATACTTTACATTGCGTATGTGGTGGGAACTGTTTTCCAGTATATACAAAAGTACAATGTACATTGACAGGTAGCCATCTTGATTTTGTCCTAGCGTGAAGTGCTATCTTTCGGCTAGATGGTGAAACATATTCTCTCTACCAGTCGGTAACTAAAGTAAAAATTTCTATCGTTATATGATTGTAATAAAATCTATTAAAATAAAATATACATATATGTGTATATAAATACCATACTTTTCTCCTTTGAAATGTTTTACAGTACAGTTTATAAAAGTTACATTTCAGATGCATCGACGGCGGTGATGATATTAATTCCTGTGGAAAAAAGATTTTCATTAGTAACACACAATGATTGCATTGGAGATTTTTTTATATAAAACATCTTTATAAATGAAATGTACGTACACACGTAATTCGCGTGTCAGTTGAAAGATTCGAAGAATGAGAGAGAGAGAGAGAGAAGCCGTAAAGCGAATCACGTTCCGAGTTTTATAATGAAAATAATATAATGAGCAGATAGAAGAACCGCCGGCCGAACGATAATGATTGTATTAATCTCACCAAACTTGTACTTTTATGCACACAAACACATTTACGATAGGCAAAATTAATGACACACGTGTAATTCAAAGGAGAGTACTAATAACTAAGATGGCTGCCGGAGAAGAAGAAGCCGGCGCGTCACTGCGCAAGCTTCAACCGCCGCCGCCGCCGCCGCCGCCGCCGCCATGATGGCGAGTCTGCATGGACATGGAGCGACAACTGTAGCGAGTTCTGATTGGTCATTACAAAATCCCAAACAATTATTATATATTAAAACAATATTTCACTTTCGACTATATATTAAAACATAATTCACTTAATTATTGCATTTTTTTAATGAAATACTTAATTTTATTGCACGTGGCCATCTTTTAATTTTTCCAAGCGCGATGTGTAACCTTTCATCTAGATGGCGAATACATATTCTCTCTACCAATATGTTTTTTATTAATTAATTAAAAAATAATAAATCTAATCCACAAATCAATTTCTTTATATGTTAAATGTAAAAAGTATTTAATAATAGTAGTAATATTATAATATTTAAATACTCGAATTTCCTTTCTCTGAAGGAAAAAATATAGAAAAATGAAAATTTAGTAATAACACTTTTCATATTACCCATTACTTTTGTTATAAAATAATACACACACACACATTAAATATATAAAAATACTACTCACCAACAAATTCCAATTGGATATCAGTTTCGTTTATAGGTTCACAACTTTTCTTTTGATAAATTTCCATCGAAATACCATACTCTTTTCTCCTTGGAAATATAATATTGTACAGGATAGTAGATTGTTGTTGTTCCATAATTGATGATTATTTATTGTATAGTCAACTCCTCTGTAAATTAAAAAATTATATATATAAAGAATAATTATATATGAAGAAGAAATTTTGTCTAAATCTACCTACCTACATACACACACACGTGGTTCCATTTCTACAAGCATG